TCAGAATTCTGACTTTAATCTCAGAATTCTGACTTTTTTCTCAGAATTCTGAGATTAAAGTCAGAATTCTGACTTTTTCCCATACTAAACTGAAATAGAATTTTAAAATCAGTTAACTTTTTTTTTATTTTCAGTGGCCTTAATCCTCTTCAGTATAAAAGTATAAAATTCAGTATAAGGCATTCAGTTTATAAAAATATTCCGTCTTTAAAATTAGGTACTATAAAAATGTAGTATTTAAAATTTGGTGTACAAGAAAGGCTGATTCCAATTAGACTTTTTTCCTTCCATAGCATACCACTTCAGTGGCAATGTTATGCAAAGTGAGTTACATGATAAAAAGAGCAGAACATATGTGCAGTAAAATTGCTAAAATCATTCAAAACATCAATCAAGTATAATAATAAAAAAATAAAAATACAAGTCAACCAACTACAGGTGATAATCCCAGGTAGATGGTCAGTGTATAATAAGATATTTAGTTTCAGGCAGCTTTTCAGCTGGATTACTGTAATATTAGTTCGATTCAATTTCATACAATAAAATACTTCATTAATTCCAAAGAGAAATTAAATGTTGGAGCAACTCATATGTTTTTAAACAGTTGTTGATGCTGTAGGAAGGAAGGATCTTTTTTAACGGTCTGGAGAAGCCTCTGACTGAAGACACTTTGTTGTTGTTTAATAGTCTAATGAAAATAATGTTCACTGTGGTCCATAATCTTCTTCACTTTATGAAGAACTCTTCTTTGTAGAATAATCTCCAGAGATTCTGGAGGAGTTCCTAGAACATCATCAGCTTGTTGAGATTTTGTAAGTAATTTCCTCTGATGCTGTTACCCCAGCAGATGATGTCAGAACGGATCACACAACTGGTAGACGACCTGCAGCATTGGGAAGCAAACTCTAAAGGACCTAAGCTTCTGCTCTGTCTCTTCTTGTAGACGGCTTCACGGTTGCGTCTACAGTGTAGTTTGTTTTCCAGGTGAACATTAAGGTATTTCCTAAAGGTATTTCTACTGCTTCACCTCCACTTTGTCTCCCATGATGCTAAAAGGATTCATCTTGTTCCTGTTTGTTCTGAAATCTACAATCATATCCTTGTTTTGTTGACATTCAGGATCAGATGATTCCAAAAAAGTAAAAAAAAAACAAAAACGAATCCACTGGACTTTAAAGTGTGAATTCAAAAAATAAGTGTGAATAAAAAAAATAAAAAAAAAGATAATTCCAAAAAACGTTTTTTAAATTTTATTTCTCCCAAAAAAAAGTCTT